TACCATCGACTGAACATGTGATCAACGCTGAAGTTTTAGAAAAAAATGAAAGCAATAAGTACACATACTTTACAGAAAGAGAAGGTTGAAATTTTAGAGAAACAATGTCGTTCTACAGAAGGATACTGAGAATACCATCGACTGAACATGTGATCAAAGATAAAATTTTAGAGAAAATGAAAACGGAAATATGCATTTATACTTAACATCAGGAAGAAACAGTTGAAATTTCTAGGGGAGATAATGAGGAAAGAGGACTTGGATAATGTGATACTCGCCGGACAGATTGAAGGCAAGAGGGACAGAGGAAAACAACGCAGAACCTAACTAGCGAGATTGAGTAAATGGATGGCAGAACAGGGATCAGGAGAAATGAGAAAACGAAAAAAATTATTGAGAGCTACAAAAGACAGGGAATTTTGGAGACCCATGATCGCCAACATCCAGAAGGGACACGGCACATAGAAGAATATATACACGCACACGCACACGTACACGCCCTCTCATATATATATATATATATATATATATATATATATATATATATATATATATGCGGAGGGTCGTTTTAGGGACCTTGTGGCACGTACTGCAACAGGTCTCTGTATTCGGCCCTTCAAAAGTGTGGTTGGATCTGCACAAAGCCTTCACCATTATAATTAAAAAAAATAAATGTGCTGGTGTCTGGGCTGTCAGTTCCTAGGAACTGAGCTGCTTGACACTCATACATCGAATACGACGGGAGAGGTAACTATATATATATATATATATATATATATATATATAATATATATATATATATATATATATGGTGAACATTTGTAAATAGTAAATAGAGTTAATTTATATATATATAATTTATATTAATAATAAATATACATTTTTCCTCAGTGGTAGGACAACTCTGAGTTTCATGACAACGCAATTTTCAGGTGCTGATTAAAACTAACTGTTACATAATTTATATATATATATATATATATATATATATATATATATATATATATATATAAATTTTTATATATATATATATATATATATATATATATATATATATATATATATATATATATATATATATAAAATTTAAATTTAAATTTAATATATATATATATATATATATATATATATATATATATATATATATATATATATATATATATACCAGACTATGATAATAGTGGAGCAGTTCATATTATTTATGGAGTCGGTTTAAAGAAATAATAAATAAAATAAATGTTAAAATAAAAATAATGATAAAATTAAATAAGTAAGAATAATTAAGGAAATTTGGAAACGAGAAAGGCAAAATTCACTTGAAAATGAAACAGAACTAATGCTTTTAATTTAATTATATAATTAAATTTGAAGCTTTTAGCTTCGGTTTTTGAAACATGGTAATTCTTGTATAGCGAAGAAACCATATTTTAAATCATTTAATTTATAATATTTATGCTCTGTAAATTTACATTGACCACTGTTTTGTAAAAATAAAAATGTTCTTTCTTTTTTATTATATATATATATATATATATATATATATATATATATATATATATTATTATAATATGGGGAGGGCCTTATAAAATGGGAACCGTTAAACGATAGAGATGGTTCGTCAAGAACGAAAGTAAGCTTTTTTGTTAGCATACGAACAATCACATTTGAAGGGTTTTATTCTTTTATCTGCTGCCATTTCAGGACATGAGCAACCATGACTCTCTACAAATTCCTATCTTTTGCTGCAACTAAGTAACTTTTGCTCCTCTCCCGAATCCCGTAACCCATTAGGGTTAAACAAATAGTGCAGAGAGCCATAGTAGCAGTGGTGTGTCTTGAGCAAGATAACCTGACGGAGCCAACCCTATCCAGGCTGGTTTTAAATTCAGAGTTTTTTCTTCTCCTCGACCGGTTGCCATATCTAGTCAATTCAATTGTAAATTGATGAGACCTTGATGCCGGTTTAATACAGCACTTAAATAAATAAAATCTAGGTACATTAGCGAAGAGCTATTACCATGAAAGTATTTATAGAAAAGTCACAGGGAATGAACTTTACGGCGGTAGGAAAGTGATTGAAGCCGAGAGGCCATTCAGGACCTAGTATTTTGCTATTTACCCATAGATAGGAAAAAAATGGATTTATACCTTTCAAAAGGATATAATGACTGGAATTCGAACTCGGCTCTCCGATTTTCAATCACAGCCACTATCCATTACTACACCATGCCTCCACTGTACCAAAACTCTTTGATTTTGTCGTTCTTAATTTCAGACCCATTCACTGAATTTGTTAAGTAGTTTATTCGCTGTTTCCCCCTTGTTTTTTTTTTTTTTTTTTTTACTTCAGTATGTCTTCAGAGTGCCAAAATATCCAAGCCTTCTTTCTTCATTAAGTGTCCCAGATAGTCCAGTAGTCACGTTTTGATTATTAGCAGCAGTTTCCATGTAGTTCGAATTCTTAAAAAAATTCCTCGTACCCAATGATAGCTTGCATACG